TTTGTTTGAGAGATGTAGTTGTTATACTTGCATAGACGCCGTTTTTCTCAGCTTTTTACTGGCTCTGTAGATCGCGCATCCTCGTCGCCACTTTTGTTGTGTCGTAATTAGACGTACAAGAGCTCAAACTTGACCATGGCCAACAACAAATGTCCAAATTTATATATACATATATTTTTACATAATGAGGCTTTAAATAATACAAATAAAATTCATCTATTTACATAAACAACAGTTAATATATAGCGAGAAGAGTAGAGGACTGAGCACAGATCCCTGAGGTACACCAGCCCATGTTCTTCGGTCCTTGGAAAATGTTCCATTGACCCGAACCTTTATCCTTCTTCCCCTTAAGAAGTCTGCAATCCAGATTAAGGTTTTCCCTCTTACTCCGATGTTTTTCAGCCTTTCAAATAATTCCTACACTCGAACAAAAGCTGAGGTCATATCCAGGAATACGGCCGTTGTCTTCTTTGGCGGTTTTTCCTAGAAATCTATTATTGATTGACAGAAGTAGAACAGTTTATCAGTTGTACAGTGTCTGGATCTTTAGGCAGTTTGGTAGAAGTTTATTTTATTATTGTTAGTGATCCAGACTATGAGCCTAGAGTGGATAATTTATTCTGTTATTTTACAAAGTATGCTGGTAAGAGCAATTGGCCGATAGTTCTTGCATTCCTTAGCATCTTTGTTTGGTTTCAGTATTGGCACTCTAATTGATATCTTCCAATTCTTTGGTAGTTTACCAGTTTGCTATGAAATATTCAGTATTTGTAGGAGTTGAATTTTAGCTTCGTCTCCAAAGTGTTTAATCATTTGACCAAAGATTAGAGCATCTCCAGGTGATATCTTGGATTTAACTTTCCTATTGATGAGTTCAGCTCATTCAGTGTGAAGTCTCTCGAGTAAATATCTTGTTGATGGTAATTTCTTGCTTGTTTAACTAACTTGTTTATATTATTTTTTAGAGTCCTGCCTTCATTCGTATAGCTGAGTCTGGAAGTGCTTGAAAGATATTCAGAAATTATGTCAGCCATCTGTTTGTTCGTTCTCGCTGTTCATATTGGTTAGAGTATTGGAGAATTAGTGTTGGTTTTGAGTTTTATAACACTAATTATATCCCAGTGATGGCTTTCCTTTTTTGGATCCATTTTCTTCGCAGAATCCTGCCCATTTTTCTTGTTTGAATATCCAAATTTCTTGTTCTATTTTGTGACTAATTTCAATGAGTTCCTTTATGATTTCTTCTGTTTTATTTGTTTTAAGAAGTTCATTTTTATTGTCTCTCTCTGCAATCATTGCCTCGATATTGTGGTCCTTTCAGTAAAGTATTCACAGGTCTTTACGTCTACCTCTACGATACTTTTGCAGTTTTGGATATGTTCAAAGAGAATTTTTCCAAGTTTTTGTCAATCGTTCTGGATTTAATTCTTCGTTGCACAGTTCTTCAAGCTTTTCTGTAAATATTTTTCCAGTGTTATTTTATTCTGTTGAAAATTCTCAATTTTGAATTTTAGGGTTGTTAAAATTGGTCTGTGGTCACTGATTGCACTTTTCAGAATTTTCCATTGTGTTGTGGGTGCGATGTTGTAATTTATCGCTGTGATGTCTATTGCGGATTCTGTGCCTGTGGACTTGGATATATAGGTGTTCTTTTCGTTATTTAACGGCGTAAGGTCGAGGTCGGTTAGCATGTCCTCAACCTGCTGACCTTTGTTATCCTGCACAGGTGATCCCCAAGTTGGTCTTTCGGCGTTAAAATCACCAAGTATGATTGCGATATCCGAAGACGCTTCACTTAATGTCTCTATCAGGCCTGTATTGATGCTAGTATTATCGTGGTGATAAACATTTATGATTGGAATTGTTTTATCTGTAAGATAGATTTCTATTGCCTGAGCTTCTGTCGTGCTTTCTCTAGGCTTACTCTGATTATAGGCGATTTCCCTAAATTTGATTTCTAGAATTTTAATCAAAACGGCAAGTCCTCCTCCGAATTTTCCCGGTCTGTCCATTTGTAGTTTTGTATAATCTTTGATATTGAATCTCAGATTCTGATTCAATTTTGTCTCCTGAGGACAATTAATATGTACATTGTTTAACAGAGAAGACAAGTCAGCTCTTTATTTTCCTCTGGGTACCATTTATATTGAGTTGTAGTAGATTGAATTGTGTCCTCGTAGTAGATTTCTCATCATGAGCTCGAGCTGCAGCTCCTGACGCGACGGTTACCCCGGACACGGTAGCATTACTGGAGATATCAGTTTTGCTCTTCATTTGAAAATGGGTGCCGTTGCAACGTTAGTCATCTTGGAAACGAACCAGAATTTGGTCAAATATTCCAAGGGTCCAGGAGGGACCGCAAGGAGGTGTGGTCGAACTTCTCCCCTTCCTCCTGGAATGCCGTCACTACAGGATAAAGCACTCTTGGTGAATTGTTTTAATTGTGATTCAGAATCTGCCACTGAATCTTTACGAGCGTTTCGTTCCTTTAAAGATAATCGAAGCGGTAAAGGACCAATGAGTTGCTACTCTCTAAAGCGATTGATTAAAAGTTTTGAGGAAACTGGATCTCTGGAAGCAAAACCTCGGAGTGGAAGACCATCGACATGCAAGTCAGTGGCTGTTACGGTTTTGCAGAATGCTGAAGCTATTGAAACGTTATCCACGTATGGAGAAGTAAGTGCTAGACAAGTTTCTCGACAAACGGGGATTGCGTATGGAACAGTTTGGAGAAAACACACATTTAGAATTTTTCTATAAAAATATCCTAACAAAATTCAAAGTTTCCACGAGTTGAAAGTCAGCGATTTTGAGAAGCGTCAAGAATTCGCTGCATGGGTTTTCCGGCAAATTGATATTGATGAAAACTGGCTGTCAAATGTTCTAAGAACAGATGATGCTCACTTTTATCTAAAGGGAGAATTTAACATTCAAAACTGCCTCATTTTGGCAACAGAAAACCCTAGGAATTTTACAGAAATACCACTTCATCAGCACAGAGTTACAGTTTTGTGTGGGTTCACTTCTTCTTTTATTATTGGGCCATTTTTCTTTGAAAAAATCAATGGAAGAACTTTTAAAACCGTTTTTGTAACTGGTGAACGTTATGTTCAACTTTTTAGAGAAAAGGTTATTCCCATATTGCAGGACAGACAAGTACTAAGCGAAATAACATTCTTGCAAGATGGAGGACCTCCTCATATCTCCCGCGGTGACAAACAATTGCTGAAGGAAACATTCGGTGGAATTCGTTGATAAGTCGCCACTTTAATATACCAGTGGCCCTCAATATCACCAGACTTGACGCCTTACAATTTCGGTTATGGGGGTACATTAAGTCGTGTTTTTATCGATGCCGGCCTACCACATTGGCCATGTTGAAGGCTTCTATCAGATAGCACGTTTTATAAATTTCAACTATTTAATTGTGACCATTCTGTCATCTATCGTCTGCAGGCGGTGTTTGAGAATGATGGGCGACACATTGAGCAAGGATTGTGACCTAATACAAGAGAGAAGGCAGTTACCTCATGTGTTATATTTTGCAGCTCTTTGTTTTGGGTTATGGGAATAATAAATGCTGTCCTCACATCTTGACTCTTTTTTTTTTCTGTAAACGGTAATTTTTTGTTTGTCATTTGCCCACATTTTATATTATGTCGTGCAGGCCAAAGTGTTATAACTTCTCGAATAACACTGGTATACACAAATTTACCCCTTATGTTTATTTTATCGCTTTTCGCTCATTAGAAGAAATAGCATAAGGAATAATCTCTGTATCCCCTCCAACTTTAGATGTTTTGCGCAAAAAATAATACAAAATGATTTTACTACCACGTTTTTCAACGCAAAAGGTCGATTTAAAATTGATTTTTTTTTAGGGGATACATTTTCAAAATTATGTACAGTATAATAAACAATGATAACATTTGACAAACCCATAGAATATTTGGAATAAAGTACGACAAATATATTTTGTCACTCCCCTCTATATTTCATTTTTGGATCATGACAAATATCCAGTTAAATAGTCAAGTGTCGACAATTAGTCAAGAAACTATACATTCCTTATAGCACGAAATCCTATTAGTAGTGCCATCATAATTTTTGGTACTATATTAACATTTCAAAAATCGTGTATTGATATCAGTAGTTATTTTCAAACATTCAATTTATTTCACAAAACTCCATCTAAAATATAAATACTTTTTTGCTACATGTTTTAATTTGCATATACCTATTTTACATATCTCAGATTGTATTTAAAAATCGTCAACCAATTATTCTAACTTTTGGCGAAATGGTGTTTTATTAACTTATCATTTGATATTATTAGGGTTCTTTCCTGGTATTCAAAAAGGAAAAATACGTGTCGTTCAGTTATATTTTTCAATTTATCAAACAATTTGGCCGCTGAATCTCTGATTCTGGTAGAGCGCCATCTAGCGAATAAAGTTGTAACTAAAATCAATTTCGAATGTTTCATTATTTGCCATAAAAAATCCCATTGCATCCTGAACACAATGGTGTTTACCGCATTTCTCTAGCGCAAATATTCGCGGAGTTATTAATTTTTAAAGTTGTGCGGGACTTTTGGATCACCCTGTATATTGGAAGAATAGATAAAATGATGATTTTGTAATGTAGAAAATTAGGAAAGACAAAATTTAGGATGACACGGCAATTTATTTGAGACAAGAATAATGATACAATTCCAAGGCAAGGTACTTTTCCTTTAACTTCCAATTACCGAGGGAACCAATTAATATTGATTTTATTCAACTTATCGAGTATTTTTCAAAGGACCGGGAAAAAACCCGGGCCGCCCGCGTGGCAGGCGAGCATTCTACCACTGAACCACCGATGCTTATATGAAATGGCCATATTTGGGCTTTTATTCCATTCACAAAAGCAAACGATGACAGAATTGATTGTTGATGACTCTAATACTTGTATATTTTAATTTTAATTTCTAGATAAGTGCAATTGAAAAAAAATCCCTCGAGCCGGATTTGGACCAGCAACCTAAGGATCACCGTTGCTATTATATCTACAATACTCCGCTCTGCCAACTGAGCTATCGAAAGTTGGCAAATATAAGTGTTTCTTCAGGTATATAATAGCATACTACATAAAATATAACAAACACACACAATTCATTATTTATATAATAGAATTTAATAGTTTTAAAGAAAGCAAGAGTTTTTAAAGAATAGGTAATTTTTTCAAACATTTATAGTTAAGAGGATTTAGAAATATTTTAATTTCAAATAAAATAGAAAAATAAGCTTTGGCAGTTCGCGTCATATATGCGGAGAAAATTCTTATAACTTGTATTTTATAAATTTTCAAATAGGTGTCAATTCTCATATATGGAAATTTTGGAAAATAGAAATCACATTTTAGCGCGTGTTTTTTTTTTTATAAATAGAACAATTTTCTATTGCCTTTTGTACAATCGGGATATATGGTTATAGGCTGGCTCATCAACACTGTGATGAACCCTTCAATCGGTATATACAGATTTTATCTTCCAGTGATTCACCATTAATGAGCCAGATCCTTCTTATACTTAACATCGCAGTTAGGACAATAGAACGATGCTTATATAAATGGAGAAGAAATCAGGTTAAAATACTTTCACTTTTCAAATATAGATGGCGCGCACACAATTGAAAAATTTCCAATATAAATAGAAAAATTTTATTGAAATAATATTTTGTATCAATATTGAGATTAGAATATCAGCCTTAAAGGGAAAGGTTTCGTGACCCGAAAGCTAAATATTAAAGATCTTGAAAAGAAAATTCCCCCTGAAAGCCTGATATTTTCAACTCAATAAATTATCTATAAGAAGTTATATATTATCTATAAGAAGCCACTGGGTCCAAAATTCTTTTTGGTCGCAGTGGTACAGCCTACTCTTCGCTGACGAGGGCCAATAGCGCGAAATGCGTTCGTGGATGGCTTTTCTTGATTTTTCAAGAAATTGGGTTGGCCAAATATCAGGGAACAGGCTAAATCAATGTTTAGTTGATTTCTTTTCCACCAAATGGCGCTCTGCCTTCTGTAAAGTACATGTGCTCTTGGTCAGGATATACTTTCTTTATTTTTAATGAATTATTTATTAATTCCAATTTTACACTCATCAACTCTCAAATAGTAGGTAGTTTATATTCAGATATTTTGGAGACCCACTTTCGTCATTTTAAACTTTTCTACTCTGACAATAAACCGCTTAAATACCGGATAATACGTATTTTGATAGATTAGACGTGTTTACACCTTTCGTCAATTAGTCATAATACAATCTACAATAATATTATTTTCATAAAATAATATAAACGTTTCAAAAATATTGTATTAGCAGATTTTCAATAGATTACACACACCCAAATTCCTGTTTTTTCAAATAAAAGTAAATCACACCCAGAGTTGATAATTTTTCATCCTCTGAATCATAATACAATATAAAATAATAATAAGCTCGAAAGAAATATTATACACGTTTGGTTGAATTATTTTATTAACTTATTTGCAATAGCTCACACACACTCAAATTCCTATTATTTTTCAAATAAAAGCAAATCACACCCAGAGTTGATGATTTTTCATCCTCTGAATCATAATACAATATAAAATAATAATAATCTCGAAAGAAATATTATACACGTTTTAAAAAATTATATTAACTTATATTCAGATGATTACACACAAAAAAAATTGTATTATTTATCAAATAAAGGTAAATCATACACAGAGGTGATGAGTTTACATCTTGAATCATTATACAGTATACAATGAAGGCAATCTCAAAATAAATATTATACACGTTTTGTTGAAATATTGTATTAACTTATTTACAATAGAATAAACTAAAAAATTCCTAAATAAAAACAAACGATAGCAATGCGTCTCTTTATATTATATAATAAAAATAAAATATTATTGTAAATAAGATAATACAATATTTCAACAAAACGTGTATAATATTTATTTTGAGATTGCCTTCATTGTATACTGTATAATGATTCAAGATGTAAACTCATCACCTCTGTGTATGATTTACCTTTATTTGATAAATAATACAATATATAAAGAGACGCATTGCTATCGTTTGTTTTTATTTAATAATTTATAGCAATTATTTTGTCTAAAAAATTCCTATTATTCTTCAAATAAAGATAAATCACACACAGAGTAGATGACTTTACATCTTATATTTTTCTTATTCCAATCCCTATTCAATATTGGTATTATTATTAAAATCTAATGATATAGGTTTTAATATATCAATAAATAATAGGTTTAATATATTATATTGACTTATATGGAAAATAACACACACACACTTCCGCGGTGGGCGCCACCAATAAAGACTGTATATATATATATATATATATAGTATATTCTAAACTGTATAATAATGACACTTTTATTATATGTCACTTATATTCCAATTAGTTAGAGCCGATACCTTATAAAATCATACCTTTCTATTAAAATGAGAGTGATCGGGGACAGCCCGCGGGACAGAGGTAGAGGCCATGACACAAACTTGGATGCCTATCACCGAGACATGGAGGGAGAGACAGAAAGAGACAGAAGCCGTCTGCCGAAGGACACCCACTAGAACATCTGCTGACCCCCTGCTAAAACCTGTCCTGTTTACAGGGGTCGTCTATAAAAAGTCCCTGAGGGGCCCCCCATCTGGGCTTTGGAATTTTCCTCCTTTGTCTCCAGCTGCCACCAGCTGACCGCTCTTTGGATCTTTATTTTGACGTCACCATTTTCAGTTTAAAAACAAATAGGGGGTTTAAATACAAATAGTTTATATGCAAAATATGGGGTGGTAGTAAATAGAAAGTGTACATTTTAATAGAAGGGTAGGATCTTATAAGGTATATATGCTCTAACTAATTGGAGGATATGTGACATATACTAAAAGTGTCATTATTATACAGTTTAATAATACTATATATATATATAAATATATATTAGATAATAAAAATGCATATATTGGATTTTATAAAATATTTATAAATATAATATTATTTATATAATATTAATATAATATATATTAATATAATATAATATTATATTATAAATATTATAAATATTTTTAAATATTTTATAAAATCCAATATATGCATTTTTATTATCTAATGAATTAAATATGGATTGCTCTATTTTCAAAACGATATATATATATGAAAAAACAATAGAAAAAATAGAAGATAAGTGGGTCAGGTGTTGATATTAAAAATAAAGAAGGCATCTCCTGACCACGAGCACATGTTGTTTTTAGATGGCAGAGCGCCATCTAGTAGAGCAAAAATAAGCTAAACGTTTATTTAACTTGCTCCGTGATAAAATATGGCCTTAAATACCCATTTCTTGGTTTCTCGGGAAGCCACTGGGACCAAAAATATTTTTGGTCGCAGTGGTTACAGCCTACTCTACGCTGACGAGCGCCAATAGCGCGACACGCGTTCGTGGATGGCTTTTCTTGTTTTATCAAGAAATTGGGTTGACCAAATATCACGGAGCAAGTTAAATAAACGTTTAGTTTATTTTTTCTCCACTAGATGGCGCTCTGCCATCTAGAAAGCACATTTGCTCGTGGTAAGGAAACGCCTTCTTTATTTTCAATATATATATATTTTTTTAATCGTTTTTCCACATATTGATAGCATATAGTTATCAAATGTAAAAATATAAATGTTTCACACAAAATACAAATCTGTATCAACTATAACAGTTATAACATTTTGAGTCAAAACGAGCTCCATTAGAGATTTATATATAAAAAAGGGTGTTTAAGTTTATTGTGCAATAAATTGATAAAATAGAACAATTCCTCGAAATATTTTGATTAAAAAAATGTTTTTCCTTTTCACAGATCCATATATAAACCCTTTTTTTATATATAAATAATTTATAAAATAGTATATAATAGTAACAAAATAAATATTAAGGTGATATAATAGATATAGATAACAAAGAATGAGATAGAGATAAGAAAATAAATAACAAATCCAAAAATCCGGTGTACCTCCAAAATTAACTTTATTAAGTCCCAATCAGGTACGCCATTTCTATCTTCATTAATTACTTGTATAAAAACGCGATCTTCTCTAATGATACAAATTAATTATTTCAAATACCCAATCTAATTTTGGAACAGAAGAGATTTATTCTATCTTTAATTTGATCGTTTGTGATGTAAATATACCTTTTTCAATAAATTATTTGGGAATTCATTTCTTTTGGTTCTTTTTAGAAAGATTAAGGGAATTTTTTTTCAATAAAAATTTCAAATTTTATAAAAGTAATATTTATTTGTTGAATTTATGTAATGTGATGTGTAATAAGAATATATAATTTATATTTATATTGTAATATTGATTATTAATAAATAAATTGTAGCAAATATTTCATTATTTTATTTAGGATTATCATTTTCTAATATTTATATTGCAACAAAGTAATCATTATTTTATTAGCAGAGTATTAATTTTATGTTTATATTTTGCTACTATCTGTACACTTCCCTCTTTTGCTTATATTTTATTTATCACTCATAGTTTGTTCTTGTCTGAAATAAATTGTTGTCTGATCCCGAAGTTGGTCTTTCCTAATTTTCTACGTGGCAATATTTGGTACTTTGTTAACTTCTCTCAATGCTTATCTTGTATTTTATCAGATATATGATTTGTTCTTGACTTAAAATAATTACTGTGTCATCCTGAAGTTCGTCTTTCCTTATTTTCCACGTGAAAATATGTTATATTGATTATAAAATAATACAGAGGAATAACGTTTCATCTATATTTAAGGAATGAAGACATCAAGACGCGAATGTCTCTTTTCACACATAAATCAAACTTCTACTTTCCTTACTGCATTGTAAAAATAAAGGGAGGGCTTGGCTCATCAGAGGTGGAGTCCTTATTGTTTGCGGAAGGGCATTGCTCGATGCAAATATTTAAATGTATTTCTACTGTCCTAAAAGCTTATGTCCATAGTTTTCTTCAATACCATTTCTAAGATTCCACCCTTTAGTAAAGCCTATAAAATCAGAATG